CAATATAATAATGCCTCTATCAGTGAGAAGGAAGTTCCCATGACATGTTTTGTCTCACTTGGTTACATAGCAGTCATAGAATTGTTGAGGATGTGTCTTACTTACCCTGCTTTGCCTTGGTTGTGTATCCTTTCCCTTTTGTCTCTTCTAGGTGAGTGGCCTGCCAGATTATAAAATCTCCTGGTTAATGCTGGGAAACCTATGCAACTTGGTACAGTGGTTAAAGCTTTTGACCTGGCGTCAGACCTGAGTTTGCATTCCACCTCATATACTTTCTAGCTTTGGGTCCCTTGAAAAGTCACTTCACTTTTCTGAGCTTATGCTTCTGGGTTGTTTTGAGGGTCAAATGAGGTCTTACATATAAAGCACTTTGAAAGCCTGAAAGTGCTGAATAAATGTCATCATCATCATCATCATCATCATCATCATCATCGTCATCATAATCATTGTCTTTCATGCTAAGGGCTAATAATTATCCAGTGATGATTAGCATATTGGCATCTGCTCTTAATATGATTAGCTAAGAAGTTCAAGAGATGATGGAATGTCTGTTGATTGTGAAGGAATGTAAAATGAGTACTATGTAGACTATCAACTAAAACAATTTTTGAAATAATTTTTTGATTTCTAAGTTTTCACATTTCTTGTGGGAAAGGGCATTATTATGGATGTTTTTACAATGTATATTTTATTTTCAACTCTTCTCCACGTCCGAGAATGATCATTATAACATTAGGAGATGTAACACATGTATCAGTAGGAAATTAATAATGCAAATTTTGGATATAACAATTTAAAGCTGTATGTAATGGTTCAATGTTTTTAGACATGCTGGTGAGCTTGTTTTTAAAATTAATACTTTCAGGGGCAGTTAGGTGGCGCAGTGGATAGAGCACTGGCCCTGGATTCAGGAGGACTTGAATTCAAATGTGGCCTTAAACACATAACACTTACTAGCAGTGTGACCCTGGGCAAGTCACTTAACCCCATTGCCTAGCCCCCCCCCAAATAAAATTAATACTTTCACTGTGGCCTAATTTAGAATCAGCTTTCTCTTGTAGCCAGTTGCTAATAATCACTAAAACACCTTTTAAAAATTAACATTTTCATATTTCTCTTATTATGAACTCAGTATATTTTTTTGTCATTTAAAAATATAGAATTGTTGTCGTCACACAATTTCAATTTCATTGCTACAAACCAGTGAAAGCACTAAATAATGATCATTTAAGCATAGGTACATAATGTAGGTATTCAAATGCTTGGCTCATAGCTCCTTTTACTTCAAAATTTGACATCGTGCTGTAAGAGAACGTAGAGGACTTGTATTCTGAAATGCCCCTCTGCATAGGGAAAACTACACAATGAATATTTTCCCTGTTCTTACTTTCTTTCAAGTAAAAGGCCTCATTCTTTGTTCACATCCCATATTATTAGTTACTATGCCTGTCCAACACATTACTTTTACTATTCAGGAATGTGAAAACTTATTACTTGTCTATGTATGAATAAATTATATTTCCTAAAATAAGGGGGAAGAGGGAAAGGAACAAGCATTTTTTTCCTCAAGAAGCTTAACTTTTTAAAAAATTTATTTTTAGTTTTCAATATTAGCTTTTATAAGATTTTGAATTCTGAATTTTTCCTCCTTCCTCCACCCTCCCTCTTCAAGACAGCGTGCAATTTGATATAGGCTATACATGTATGATCATATTAAACATTTCCACATTAGTCGTGTTGTGAAAGAAGAACCAGAACAAAAGGGAAAACCCATGAGAAAGAAAAAAACAGAAAACAACAAAGAAAGAGAAAATAGTGTGCTTCAATCTGCATTCAGACTCTATAGTTCATTCTTTGGTTGTGGACAGCATTTTCCATCATGAGGCCTTTGGAGATGTCTTAGATCCTTGCATTACTGAGAAGAGCTTAGTCTATCAAAGTCAGTCATCGCATAACATGGCTGTTACTGTGTACAACATTCTCCTGGTTCTGCTCACTTCACTCAGCATCAGACCATACAAGTCTTTCCAGGTTTGTCTGAAGTCTGCCTGCGTATCCTTTCTGATGGTACAATAGTCTTCCATTACATTCGTATGCCACAACTTGTTCATCTCCTCAGTTTCCATTTCTTTGCCACCACAAAAAGAGTTGCTATAAATATTTTTGTACATGTAGGTCCTCTTCCCCTTTTTATGATCTCTTTGGAATACAGACCTAGTAGTGGTATTGCTGGGTCAGAGGAACAAGCATTTTTAAGCATCTGCTATGTGCTAGGCACTGTTCTAAGCACTTTACAAATATCCCATTTGATCCTCACGGCAACGCTGGGATATAGGTGCTGTTAATATCCCCATTTTACATTTGAGCAAGCTGAGGCAGACAGGCTATGTGACTCATTCAGAATCACATTTAGTAAAGTATCTGAGGCCAGATTTGGTCTCAGCTAAATACTCTATCCACAGCCCTACCTACTTGTCTCAGCACACTTCAGTCTTGAACTTAGATTTATTATTTGGAGTTATGCCAGCAGTCCCCTCTGAAAAATTGTTATGTGATCATTTTTTAAAAAATTATTTTATTTAAAAAATTTCATTTTCAATTCCAAACTCTCTCTTGTGCCTCCTCCACCCACTGAGAAGAGAAGAAGTGTGGTGATTATATGTTAGTTGCTAAGTTTGGTTCCTGATTTTCTAGGGCCAGCAGTTTTTGAGGACGAACCAATGTGAAACACTTGTGTGAATTACAGCTGCTGTTCATGCTTTTGTGTGGCATTCATAGCATCAGCTGTACAGCTGGAAGGGAGCTAAGATGAGAGGTGGTTATCTAGTCCACTGGTGTCAAACTCTAAAAAGAAACAGGGGTCACTAAACCATAGGCCACTGGTGGGCACATATTGATTTAGACAACCACATATTAATGTTATTGATGTGTGATCGTATTTTTATTTTATTATTTCCCAGTTATTTTTTAATCTCATTTAGGCCAAACTGTGCCAATACTGTATTTGATGCCTTTGTCAATCAGTCCAATACAGTTTTATAGTTAAGGAACCCAAAGAGTTTAAGTGATTTATTCAAGGTCATTCAGACAGTAGGAGGCAAAATGGGGATTCAAAATCAAGTACTGTGACTCCAGATCCAGTGGTCTTTCCACTGTACAACATTTGAATATTGACTATGTTAAAAGAAGATGTAATTTGAAAAAAAGAGAGACAACTGTTCTCTAGAATTTCACTCTTGGTTTTGTTAGTTTTGTCTTTACATCTTGTGACCATATTTTCCAACCAAAAAATCAGAACACGTAATCTGTATATGCCATTTGTCTCCAGTTTTTGTATTTTGTTTTTTTTTTGATTGAAGACAACATCAGCAAAAAAAAAAAAGACGTGAAGTGAAATCTTAGCATAGGGAGATCAAGATCACTTGCGATTGCAGATTCCTTCTGTCCAGGGGCTTTCCTTCACATATGATTTTGATGGGGTTTTTACAGTCTGTTAAGTTTTACAGTCTGTTGAGAGTTCTAGAGGTCACATCGGAAAGAACAATGAGGTAAACATCAGAAAGAGTAGTGCTAAAGTAGATATGGCTGAGGCATTTTGTGAATGGGCTTTTAACTCAAAATGCTTAGGTAATAAAACATTTTTCCCACCTTTTTGGTGGCTGTATGGATTTCTTTTTTTTTAATTAGCTAATTTATTTTTAGTTTTCAACAATCACTTCCATAAGCTCCCCCCCCCCCAGCAATTGGGGTTAAGTGACTTGCCCAGGGTCACACAGCTAGTAAGTGTCAAGTGGTGTTTGGTCTGAGGACGGATTTGAACTCAGGTCTTCCTGACTTCAGGTTCTCTATCCACTGTGCCACCTAGCTGCCCCCATAAGCTTTTGAGTTTTAAATTTTCTCCCCCTTCCTCCCTGCCTCCCACCTCAAGATGGCTTGCCATATGACATAGGTTCTACATATACATTAAAGAATTAGAAGCAATAGGAGGAACCACAAGAAAGAAGAAACAAAACAGAAGGAAAAAAAGCAAATAGTATGGTTTGATCTGTGTTATGATTACTGTCTTTCTCTTCATCCCGTTTCCCCCCAGTTTATGCTTTTCTTTCTCCTTTCTCCCTTTCCCTCTTCACTAGTGTTTTGCTTTTGACCACTGTGTCCCTCAGTCCACCCTCCCTTTTCTTCTCCTTTACCCTTACTACTTTTTCCCTCCCTTCTATCTACGCTCTCTTTTCTTTCTCCTTTTCCTTACTGCCTATAGGGCAAATTAGATTTCTATACCTAACTGATTATGTTATTCCCACCTTGAGCCAAATCCAGATGAGAGTAAAATTCAAACAGTGCTCATCTCCCTCCCTTCTTTCCCTCTACTATAATAGGCTTTTGTGGCTTTTCCTGTAATTTACTCTTTTCTGCATTCTCCTTTCCTTTTCTCCCAGTACAATCCCTTAATTAGAGCCACATAATCCACTTACTTAGATCCATTTAACTCACCTAATTAGATTTTTTTTTATCATTACATGAAAGTCAATTTATACCCACCCTCTCTGTCTATGTATACCTTTTTTAAATGGTGTAGTAACAATACAGTTTTCAAGAGTTACAAGTGTCATCTTCCCTGGAAGGGATGTAAACAGTTTGCTCTTATTGATAACATGTTAAGAAAACATTTTTTAAGGCTAAAAAGGCCTACCCTCTCCCAGTGATGGACTGTGTAAGTGTCATCTCATAATCGGTCTGGTTAACTTGACAAGCAAGTATCATCACCAGATTGGTTACGAGATGATGAATCTTTCAGTCATAACAACTCCCCAAGACTATCTAGTTGTGGTGAGGTTGAGGATATATATCTTTTGAAGAGAGTACTCATATTGACAAAATCACCAATCCTTAAATCTACTAAATGGTACTGCACAGAATAGGTACTTACTTAGACTTTCAATTCAACAAATATTAACTATCCCTATATTTTTAGTGACCATAATATATTTTGTATTTTCTAGAACAGTCCTGATTCTAGTAAGATAAAACTGCACTTCTACAAGTATGTAAGTATATCAAAAACCTCCTTTTTTAGTAAACTGGAAAATATTAAGAAATAATATTTTCCACTAAAACCCATTCCAGATTCTGCTACCACCATCTTTCCTTCTGCCCATCTATCTATATTACATCAGTTCCTTCCAGAGGTCAGGAAGACTGCTTTCTTTTCCTGTTTCAAAGCAGCCTTGCCATGTTGAACCTCTTATCAAATTCCTGCCCCTGGCCAGATTGTCATTTCCATTTCCTAGCCCTTTTGTAGAATTGACATGATTGATACATCCTGTATTCAGCGAGTGAATAAAACTCAGGTTAGGTGTTCAGCTACACTCATTTTTTCTCTATTCTTAATCAGTTGTCTCTAGAACAATAATCTTTCAGAATCCTAAGGGTAGATTAAAGGATTGGACCTGTGATTTCATTTTCATAAGGGACTCTCAGGTGAGGAAATACCTTCAACCAATGCACCTCGGTACCTTTTCTGCAACTTCTAGCCTTAGAATGTTGCCCAGAACACTGAGAGGTTTGGACTTGCCTAGGGTTATGCAACCAGTATGTGTCAAAAGTGGGATTTGAACCCCGGGCTTCTTGTCTGTAACGCAGTCTCTCTATCCACTATGCCAAGCTAATAATATAAAAAACATTTAAATATTCATTAATAAACAGATCATTGATAACCAAATCCATTTTAAGCTATGGGGTAATGGCTATGCAGGGACATCATTAGTTCACGTACTGTGCTTACATAGTCATAATGCATCTGTGATAATGTTTCCAAATTAAATCTAAGGGGGATATTTCAAATTTGATTTAAAGGGTTGTATTAAACTAAGTTAAAAGTTACTTACTAGGTTACTGAATAGAAGCAGCATAAAAACAGCAAACAGATTTTGGAGGGACTTATTCCTAAGAATTTGCTCAAGTTACCTGACTGGTGTTCGAAAGAACATAAGCAAAACATCTTTCTAGAGCAGGGGCAAGGGCTCCATAGGTAGATTTCAGTGGGTTTGTGAACTTGAATGGGGGGAAAAAACCTCAAAAACTTTTTTCTTTTTTTTTATTTCATAAGCAATTTTTTTAACGTGTGTTTTTAAAACTTTGGGTTACAAACAAAAACTTTTTCAGTATAATTGATTTGCTTTGTAATCCTGTACATTTTATTTTATTCATATAAAGACATTTTTCTGAGAAGAGGTTTATAGGCTTCACCACGTTGCCAAAGGAGTCCATGATTTAACTAAGGTTAATACCTCGTTTTAAAAAAAAATTAATTAAAATTTTTTCAGTCAGTAAAAACCTTTTTCTCTTTCCCCCTTCAGCCCATTGAGAAGAAAAGAAAAACAAAAGCCTTGTTACAAACACATAAAGCACATTTCTATGTTCACCATGTTCAAAAGAAAAACTGTGTGTATGCACATATGTAGCCATTCTCTCTATATGTGTATATACACATATGTGTATATAGACACACATATACATGTATGTGTCATTTTGTACTCTCAGTCTTTCATCTCTGTATCAGGATGTGGGTAGTACATTTCATCATTAGTCCTCCGGAATGGTAGTTGATTATTGTGCTGATCAGAATTGTGTCTTTTAAAGTTGTTTGTTTTTACAATGTTGTCATTGCATGCATTTCTTTTCCTAGTTCTGTTCACTTCTCTCTCCATCAGCTTATACAGGTTTTCCCAGGTTCCTCTGAACCTATTCCCTTCATTATTTTTTACAGCACAATAGTATTCAACACATTTATTCATCATAACTTGCTTATTCATTCCCCATTTGATGGGTACCCTTTTTGATTCCAGTTCTTTGCCAGCTCAAAAAGAGCTATAAATATTTCTGTTTATCCTGAGTTTATTTTGCTTAGGACCGATTCCTCCCTTAATCTCCTTTCCAATTCCCCCTTCTCCCTTTTCTTTTGTAATTCCTTGTTGAATTAAATGTAATACCTCTATTCTAATGGCTAAATTTTTGGAATTTGCAAGTAAGCTTATCATCTTGGTTTATAGACATTTTTCTTTTCTTTCCAAAGAGTTTTTATAGGTAGTCTAATTTAATAAAACCTTTGACATTCCACTAAGAGGAAGAAACTGGTTTCCTGCTCTGTTTCCCCTTGACAACAGCTGTTTTTGACCTCAGCATAACCCTTTTTAGTTTCTAAGTCGTTTTCTTTTTGCTGTTGGTTGTGCCCCACATTGTGATATCTTTTCTTTAGTATACTGGGAGAACAATATGATATCTAGATTTATACTTCCAAGTTATAGCTGGTGACAATAAGAAAATATTCTCTTATAAGTTCTGAGGATGTCCTTACTAATTTTATACAACTAGAAGAAAATAATCTCAGTTAATAAAAATATAAATTCAAATATTTTGAAAGGAATACATTTTTATTCAAATAAGATAAGTATTAAGATATAAAGTGAAGAAACTAAGTGCAAAGGTTCTAGTTCAAAATTAGATTGTACAAATGTATCACAAAACTTTACTGCGGTAGTCTCCAAACTTTTTTGTATAAGTACACCATCAATAAAAACTTTCTGATTCCATGTCCTCAATATGTGTATTTGTAAGTTATATACATGTTATATACTATAGTACTATGTACTGTACTATGTATAGCATACATGTACATATGTAATATGTTACTAATAGCATAAAAAATGAAAATTAAAGGGCAAGATAAAGATGAAATAAAAAATATTTAAAAAGTTTATTTTAATGGTACAAAAACCTTTGCTCACAGTAAAATAATTTTTAGCAAAGTGATTGAATATGCTTCATTATTTTTGAAATTTTGGTTTTAACACTTTCTTATGTAGTGATTTAAAGGTCTTAGAATCTAAATTCATTTTATTTTGATACTTGGTTTTAGTGATCATCATAGCTGAAAAGGACACCTCACAAAAATACAGAGACCCAAATAGGAGAAGTGCTCTAAACACAAGATCAGTGCCAGTTTTGTAGCCATACTTGAAGCTGACAGGGAATAAGGTACTCCCAGAAGAAGGGACCTCATATGCAGGTCCCTGTGTCTGAGTCCCTGAAAGCCTCAAGGTTCCAAATAGACTAAAACAAGAGGTGTCAGACACATGGCCTACAACACTTCCAACTGAGGCCTGAACCAGACTAAAATGTAATTGGGAAATAGTTAACAGCATAAATAAATTAATAAAAAATAACTATATTAACATATGTGGTATTCTAAGTCAGTACATGGTCCTCAAGGATCCTTGTGTATGGTGTAGTGGTTCATGTTTCTATTTGAATTTGATACCACTGTCCTAGAAGTCTTGTGCTTCTGGAGAATGAGATTGAGAACTAGGTGCTTGCTCCATCTGCAGTGCAGGGTGTCTTCTGGGTATGTGCCATCCTCCACTAAAGTGAGGCTGCAGAGTTGGCATCAGGTGTGATTTCAGTCTGATCTGGGAGATCTGATCGCCAGAAATTTACTGACCAAGCTAAAGGAAGGTGATGCTCTCATAGTTAGAAGCCTCAGTATACACACTTAACATCTCAAATGCTTGGACTTCCAACTGTCTTTTTCTCTCAGTCCTCATTCTGCTTGATGTCTGTAGCTTTTGGTGCTGTCCACCACACTTTTCCTCTGGGAAACTCCACTCGTGGCTTCTTTAATAATGTTGTTCTTTGGTTCTCTGCTTTTTTTGTCCCCCCAGTCTCTTTTGCTGGATAAAGATACACAAAGTGCAGGTTCCCCTTAAAGCTCTAACCTGGGCTCTATTTTCTCTGCACTCCTTTGATGATCTCAGCAGCCCTCATGGGCTGCCCTCATCTTTATGCCAGATCTTTGTGTCTTCTACTAATCTCTCTCAACTCCAGCCCTGCATCATAATCTGCCTGCTGGGCTTACCCACCTGGAGTACCCCACTGACATCTCCAATTCAACCTGTCTAAAACAGTCAAACTCCTTCTTAAATCCAACTGTCCTCCAACTTCTTTGTCTCTGCTAAGGGCCCCATGCTCTTTCCAGCTGGCTATCCTCATCTCTTCTCTTTATATGTAGTTAGTTGCCTAGACTTGTATTTTTTACTGCCACAGGATTTCTCAAGTTGATCCTCTTCTTTGTACTTACATAATCATTACTTCAGTTTAGATCCTTCTTCCACTATTACACAAGCCTCCTAATTGATTTTCCTGCTTCTGTTTTTTCACTTTTAAGGTGAGAAATTGAAGCATATAAGAAGTTGTCCAGGAAACCCACATTATTGTTTCTCATTCATATATTCATATAAGTTCTTATTCTCCAGGAACTCATTCCACAAGATGAAATCAACTCTGAAACACTCAACTCCTCAAATCATTTCCCATCCTAGCTGCAGAACTTAGTTATTTCCTGCTTCCCTCCCCTGCTTTTCATTTTCTTTTTGATATATTGCCCTTCCTCCCCTGCCCCCCCCCCCGGGCTTAGCACTATTGTGTGGCACATAGTAGATATTTAATAAATGTTTATTGACTGACTGTGACTCTGTCCATATAATCTGTCCTCTGCACTGTTGCCAAAATGATTTCCATGAGATATGACAGGTCATGTTGTTCTCTGTTCCCTATTGCATCTAGGGTAAAGTAGAAAATCCTTAGCCTGTCACTTAAAGCTTTTGACAGTTTTGGGTCCTTCCAACTTTTCCAGATTTACTTCCTATAACTTCTATCCAGTCTGGCCTAATAGCTGTTCCCTGAACTTGAAATTTCATTTTCTGCCTATGTTTCTTTGTATAGACTATCCTTGTGTTTGGCATGTCCTCCCTCATTGCCCTTAGGATCTTTATCTTTCTTCAAGGTTCAGCCAAGGTTCCCTTCCTCTTTGAAGTATTTTTTTATTCTCCCTCCCCTTTCTCCCATTTTTGATGTACTTGCTGTCCTTATGTTTTTTTTATAATTACTTATTTGTGTTTATGTTTTGTTTTCCCAGTAAAATATAAGGTACTTAAGGGTAGGGTTTTTTTTTTCTTGGCATCCCCAGGTCACAAGCTGGTGGTTAATAAAT